CCCCTCCTTTTTTTTTTTAAATGGAAAATAAAGAAATCAACACACTACAGAACAAGGGGCCAGTTCTTAGAAAAAAACGGTGATTGGCTGAAATTCACCGCTTTTTTTGGAAGTAAACCCTCCTGTCCAGGACAACGTTTAAAAGCTGGACTACCAGACAGATCCTCGTGCCAAAAAAGTCTCAGATGGGGTGGGGTGGGGTGGGGAGCAGTATAAGGTTCAGCCTCCTATTTTCCCTATGATTTCAGAGATCTTGCTGCTTTCATACAAGGTTCTGTCCAATCTGGGGTTTGCCATTAGCTGTGCATATCATCAGAAGCCGGAATGTGGTGGGCACGACACAATATTTTGATATTCCAAATCTGTTCATTGGATAAACACCGTCTTGTAATTTTCAGGGGTTTCATTGCCCACATTGGCATCTCTGCTCTGATTTACACAGCCGCAATTTTGTTTTAGTTTTTAAAAGGGCCGATGGTTTGTAATCTACGCGGCAAACCCTTTCCTAATTGTATGCATTTATCCACAAAGCTGTCAAAAGTTTGCTGGGCAATTCCCTTTATGTAATTCTTCTAGTGGGTGAAAAGGCCTCCATCGGATAGGTTCCAGTGGAGAAGAATAAAATCGCGTTCTTCTTCCACATTACTTCTACATGCAAGTCAAGAAAAATCTGTCTGGGGGAACCCAGAGAAAACAGGCTGGCTCTATAATCTTTGACGAAGAAGCATTCTGCTTTTCTTTTAAAATATACACCAGCAGAGACCAAGCCTCTGCTTTAAGAACATTTTCTTCTTCAGGTTTTCCATTAGGGGAACATAATGAGAAATAGCAACACGTTTGTTATGTCTCCAGGGCAGCTTGTCAATCCTAAAACGGGTGGATTTGTCAGAGTAACTACTTCCAGCCCACCGCAGAGTGTTTCTCACAGGCCGGTTTAGCTCTGATCCTAAATTCCGCATAATTTGCACATTTCAACTGCAAAACAGTCTTTTCCGGAGCTTTTTATAATAGGAGTGTGATAACAAAAAGAGATTTGCTCCATCTTGCAAAGTTGCATCCGTATAAGGGATTGCTTACACTGCTTGAAAGAGTGCTGAATATGTACAAAGGGGCAGTGTAAAGACAATATCAGTCTGGATTGTGTTGAAAAGGGGGCAAAAACCCTGGGGAATTCTGGGAGTTGAAGTCCACACATCTTCAAGCTGCCAAGGTTGAGAAACACTGCTCTAAACTCTCTGTCAAGGACTGTAATTGCAAACGACTGAGTTTGGATGACCTCCTTGACCCCTTCCCAGTTCTATGGTTTTATGGAGTTTGGTGCTGTCACCATCACTATGAACAACTGAATCTGCTTCTCTGTAATAGATCGTGGTTCTGATGGATCCCATGGAAGATCCAGAGGATATCTTGCGTGCCAATCGGTCAAGGGAGAAAACCTTTATTTTTGACATGGTTTTTGGTCCCCAAGCAACACAGGTGAGGTGGTCCTTCCGGGCTGAATAACCTGGAGGCTGTAACCTAATTTTCTTCCGAATCTTTTTTAATGCTACATTTTAAATGTATTGCTTAGTCATTTTAGGAAGCACCAATATCAGCCAACCCACATGGGTGTTGTCCTACTCTACCTGGAAGGCACCTGGTGGGTGGGTGAAGCTTGTCCAGATGTTTCCTACATGAGCATCTGAGAGGGAATTTCAGTTCTCGCTTGGCAGAGGTAACTCTCAAGATATTTTGTCCGAATAGGGGGTGAAGTTGAACATACAGGTGACGTTCACATTGGTTAAAGTGCCCACTGGTGATTGGTACCGGTTGTGGATTGAAGGAGCATCTTGTGTCATCTTTCCCTGTTGGTTCTTCCCCTCCAGAACACATTCCTAGTTGATCTCTTATTAGCCCACAACCTCATCTCTGCCTCTTGATGTGGAATGAATCAGATTATGAGATATCACCTACTGATTGCCTTACCTCTAATTTTAAAGAAATAAAAAGGCTATAAGTTCTCTCATCTCTCTTCCTGGTGTAGATTTGCTCTCGGTATCCCTCTTAGGACCTGATAATGTGCCCTAGTATTCATCCTGCATCTTGGCCGTAAGTCACTGGGGATGATATTACTGACTTTTAAACCTACAGTGAAGTTAAAAAGTTGAAACACTCCTGAGAGATGAAGTCATGTTTACTGCGGATGCTAGATATGCCTCGCCAAAGATGCCTGGTATGAATGCATCTAGATCTGGAAGCGTACTCTACTGGGGCCAATTCTGCAAGTTCAAGCCTTGTGTTAAGTTTCCACGGAAGAAAGAAAATGACAAAAAAAAAAAACCATGGTGATCATTTGGTTATTCAAACAGAGCAGGAGCCGTTACAATGGCTAAAATAAATAAATAAATCCACCTCTCTTTCAAATAAGACAATGCAAAAACAGTATCTTACATACCAGCTTTCTGTACCATAATGCTCTCTAGCTGGTTTGCAGCTACAACTGTAGGTATAAAAATAAAACTCCTCAGCGCATTTTAAGAATTCTGTTTGTGTGTGAGGGGAAGGAAGGAAGGAAGGAAGGAAGGAAGGAAGGAAGGAAGGAAGGAAGGAAGG